AAAAAAAAAAAAAAAAACGCTACAGTGTTCTAGCGGACGAGTAATTCTCTAAATAGTAATAAATGGTAAAATCGTACCGCGTGTAGTTTGTATACCATTTGGTGGCGCTGATACTTGACTCGGTTGTGTTGTTTTAATAGTACTGCTGGAATTCGACTGATGATTCATGTGACTTCTGGATCCGAGGTCCCCGGTTAGAAGATCGATTAACGACAATCTCTGTGTGCGTGACTGCCCTTCGGTTACAGAATGCATGTCCGCGACACTCCTCTTTGGTTCTGATTGCGCTTCGTCTGTACATTATTTATTTATTTATTTTTATTAACAACGAATCGAATCGATCGCTTCATGAAATTTTGATCTACCAACCAAATTTCCGATCTTCTATTTCTTCCTTCAGGTTCTTCAATTCGTGGATAAGATCAGTCAGCAGGGTGCCGCGCGATTTTGGCACTGTTTTAGTATCGCCGTTGATCTTCGATCGTATTATGCTCTGCATGTTCCTCTCGTGTTCAGAGATCGGCGCTTGACCGATCTTATGAACGATGAACGGTAGCATTTGAATGTACAAAGCGGTTCGATGAGTTACTACGAATTCTATAAAGTTCCAAAGATAAGTGGAAGCCTCGTTTCGTTTGTTCAGCAAACGCATTGTGCGTAAAATTTTCGGCCACTCGGTTTTCAGTTCCGTTTCGAAACATATCGTCATTATTTTTAGAGCTATTTACAAAGAAATGGATAAAGATTATTTTAGATGTTTAATATAAAAACTAGTATAAAAATCTTTTGATTGTTTACCTAAAAAGGCAACTTGATACAACGTTAACGACATTTTAGTTGAAGTCTTTGAGTCTCTCGCTGCAAATGTCAAACTACCCGCTCTCACGTCTGTCGTTGTTTTCAAATTTTGTGCACTTAATGGCACCGTTTTCGTGGAAGGCGGCCATAAAGTGTTTAGCACCGCTGTTAATGCGAAATTTATATCAGACTGTCTCAGTTTCGGTACATCTGAAACATGATAATATTTTTAAATTAATAGATCAATTAAATCGAAATTAATATTTTTTCGAAAGATCTATCGAAATATTACCTTTCCTTCCTGTTCCCACGCGTAGAAACAACGGTATTAATAAATTAAGTAGAGTATTCTCGATTCGAGTTTGAGTTACAAACATAGCGTGTAAATATCCTTCTCCGAGAGATATAAAGTAAAGTGCTATCAGTCGAAGTACCGTCGAGCAAAAATGTTGTGGAGGTATTTTGCTCATTAAAGCCGCGGAGGAAGCTGATGTCACATCCTCCGCTGGGGTATCTCCAATGATTAATGACTATAGACAAATTAAAGCTCCCAATTAATAAAATATTAAATGCCTAATTATTCCTCCACTATTGTTATTAACTCTTTAATGCCTAAGTTCGTAAGGCACTTGATTATCTAACTACACTTTGTCGAATACTATCAATCTTGGAATTCGATAGTCTTTTAAACACTCGTGAAAGTGTAAAATAATTACGATACCTGACAGGTGGTCAGCAATGTCTTTAAATATTGAAAATGAGCGATGTAGGGACATTTTGTCAACGTTTCGTAAACTCCTTTCAAAAGATCGCTCGCAGCAATCCAATCGGTGTTTCTCCTGATAGAAGCCTTTTTATGTATCTTGCTAAACGTTTTGTCCAGTCTTCTTAAAATATTCGTCAATGCAGGCCTCATGTCGTCGCTGGACCAATCGGTCGAGGGCAGAATATCGTTCATGTATCTTCTTAAGCCGCGACAACCCATCGTGCTTGCATCGTACGGAGATATTTTCAACAGGCTGTGTGCAATGTCGGCTAATCGCTATTAACGAGCAAATTCTTATTTTAACAACAAACACGAAAAATCTACGGCAATGGAAGCGAATAAATTACCAGACCGCTAAAAGTGATAACTAATTAAATTCAATAATAAAAATTCAATTTCTACTGTATCGAGGAAAGAGTATACAAAAAAAAAAAAAAAAAAAAATGATGAGTGAAATACTCACTATATGGCATTTGGAGTCTAACAATTCGATCGTCTTTCCATCTTGAGATTTTTTATTCAATTCGACCAAGCGGGTTGAGCAGCGAGCCACAAAGTCTCCGACCATGTTCAACAACGTATCGCGTGGTCGACGAAACTCGTTTTTATGACTACTTTCGGCATCGTCGTTGTCTCGATCATAAAAGGTTCGAACCTTAGAATGTTCCATGTACTTGGTCGTGTGAGTATCATCTTCGAAGTCAAAACCAGGCGAATATGGGCCCTTGCCGTAATTTCTTTGACTGGAGCCCTTGTGCTCCGGGCTCGACTTTTGTGGTCCATTGTAATATCTAGAAAAATTTGATGCGTGGGTATAATAACCACCATAAAAATTGAAATTTCCAAAGATTCAAAGTCAAAGATTACTTCGTAAGTGCTTCAGAATTATTTACTAAGGTCTTCACAGCTATAGCCAACTGATGTATGATTTCTTTCTCTGTTTTGCCTTCTCTATTGTAAGTCGGCGACTGTATCTGTTGAACGTAGCATGGTAGTATTGCTTCCAGTATGGTCTGTTAAATTAGAGAAAATTCATCGCGGACGTTTATAGGAGAAATATTTGAAGCACGTTTAATTGAAACATGCCTTACCAACATTTGTTGACCTCTCACGGAGTCGGGCGCGTAAGCTATCACCATCACGCAAAGAGATATGCAATCTAACACAGTGACCATTTCGTTCTCGTCGTGGTAACAAAAGTCAATAGCTTTAAGAGGTTTTTCTTCTTTAACCAGTTCGTCTATGTTCAAAGGATCCGGCGACGGTGTCTCCAAACTCAGCAACAAATTAAATAAGCACGTAGAAGGAACCTTTAAACAATTTTTGAAAGACAGACCAATATAATCATCGTGTTATACGCGTTATATGTGTAATATACATACCTTGTGCGCTTCTCCGTGAATGCTAGTCTCATCTGTGTCCAATATGGTGGAAACACTTCCGAACATTTGAAGAATAAATGGCTTTCGATTCATGAGATAGAACTGTTTAACAGCGTACTCCACGGTGGTTGTCACCAATTTATTCGTCTGATGAGTCGAGTACAATTGCAGCAACGTTGGCATGATTAGCAAGTAGCCGTTCGTCGAAAAAATATTCTTAAAATTATGCGCGGCGTTAATATACGTAGCAATGACGTAACGCAAAATGCATGAGTCTTCGCTGTGTAGAATTACTGCACCGTTTAGAACATTTAGAAACAAATGAATGTCCCCTGAATAAGCGAAATTGCCTGCCATCGCTTCGAACATTCTCGCGATTAATTTGACCCACATAAATTTGTGCATCACGTCTAGACCAAGAAGCTCCTGTCAAAGAAATGATCGTAAAATTCATGTTTTCATCTCACTGTATAGTGCGTGAACTTGCTTGGTATCGAACATAATCTGTTATTGATAATTTTTTTGATAGGTGAACGCGTTTAATTTCTTTAACGTAAAGTGTTAATCTGCTTACATTGGAATCATTACTTTACCATTAATTTAGTAGATATTTTAAAATCTCAATTTTATAATATCTATCGTATAAAAGACATGGCTGATATTCTTGTGTCTTTCATAGATTTTACAAAATATTTAGTAAACTGTTACTGTAATTTTACCAATTCTGTCTTTATCAGTATTAGCAGGAGCATTCACAATATTGTTATTATTCGATCGAAATTTTAATACATCTGTTTTTGATCCCACATAACAGGAGATTCAATTTTATGTTGATATTTATTTTGATCTTTTGGTAATTCAGAAGTTTTAATATTTTAATTTTATCAGGATTCAGTTTAATTTCACAAGTTATTACAAATGAAAATGATGAAAAAGGAACTTGTGATGTAATACTTTCCTTTTGTAGAGAATATCAAGATTGACTTTAGTGCTAAAGCACTGAAACTTATTAATGAGTTAAAGATTACATGATTTTCTTAAAAACGTTGATCTTCATATGTTCTCTACGCGTTCACCTATGAAGAAAACTATCAACTATTATTATCTATCTATCTATAATAAAAACTATCAGAATACTTAACTCGACACCAGGCAAGTTTAATGGCCTGTTTTAGTGATCAAAAGGTCTATTTTATGCAAAATACTCTGTGTTTATTTAGACTGCGTCTAAATTAGAATAGTGCTTTACTTACCCTGCCAATTTCACCACCTTTGTACAAATCCAAGTCCGCCTCCAGTGCTCTTCTCGGGAAAGAAGGTAGCTTCATTAGTTCCTCGTGAAGAAACACCACTCTTTGAACTACCATGTCGACATTTTTCAAAATTGCCCACGTCAGCAATACTTTGCCGATTTCAACGAACTTGTGAATCAGTTCTTGACGTTGCAAAGCATTGAACGCGTCCTCCGGTTTCATATGGACCAACTCGATTTCCGAAAATTGCGATCTCCCTTTAAAGAAATAGTAATCTCGAACATACGACGATGGGTTGCGAATTTGATCTGCAAAACGCAAGTTGTAATCGTATAAGGAAAAAAGAAAAAAAAAAAAAAGAAAAAAACAATCGTAAATCATACGGTGTAATTTTTTTTAGAAAGATGTGATTAGTACAAACGTGTTTTGTAGTCAACGAGAAAGTACTCTCGTTGTTTCGACTCCTCGATGCCGAAAAAGTCTAAAGATTCCCGCAGTATTTGGCAAAATTGCGTGTCCTCCTGCACTGGGAATTGCGAGGGAATTCCTCCAGCATCTGGTCCTTGTGGACCGTGAACTACGATTCTTTTCGCAGATGGAACGTTTGCGGTCAACAAAATCGAAGCGTCGCACTGCTCTTTCCGTAATATCTGCTTTAAGTCTTTGAACATTATTCCATGAACGCTGTGCACGACCTGTAAAGAACAGAAATTCTCAGAACTCTTTTGATCTAAACAGAATAGAGACTTGCCAAAACAAGTGAGAAACGTAAGAACGCAATAATAATCTATGCTGCGAGAACAAATTTACGAACGGCATGATAGAGCAAATACGCCATAACTCAAGCACGTGGAATCGCTGTCCGGAATTTAAATGTCAAAGTTTTGAAAGTATATGGAAAATCAATAAACTAAGAATCGCTAAAGCAAATCTCTAGAAGATTTTTTTTTTTTGCATAGTCCCGAAATTTTGACATTTAAAATTGGGACACTCTGTGTAAACGAACTTTTAAAGATGGCGTTGGCGTGATTAAACCCGAAAGAATTAACTTGGATTTATTTACCATCCATAGTATAGAAAGTGCAGTTCCGATTAATTTTTGTCCTTCTTCGTGCGGGGAACGTACATAGAACATAACGTATCCAATAATATAATTGTACAAAGCAAAAGCGGCCTGTTGAGGTAGCTTCGGCACGAACCGAATGAGATGTCTCAAAATTTTGAACATTAATTCCTGCTTCTCTCTGGTAAGACGTTCCAAAACGTAACGAAGGAACAGCGCACTGTCTTCCACTAAACAGTTCCAGATTACCTGCAATGAAATTACAAACAATTCAATTTGTTTGTTGACACGAAATTTGCCGCGCGAATCAATCGGATGGTGAATTGCTTACTTGATACGCAACTTCGTAAACGGCACTTCCGTCATCCGAAACGGCAGCGTCGTCAAGGAGATTAATTATTTGTACGATTGCAGAGCATAACGAAGATGGAAATAACGAAGGTGCAGATTGGCCATGATGAGATGTGTTTCTGGTTATCGTTTCACCACCATCTTCGTCTCCAACATTCCCTGCAAAATTATTAGATTATTAGGTGTAGCAACGGGAATTCGATTGCGATTATTTTGATACTATTTCGTAGCATATTGATACACAAAAACATGTGTTTTTTTTTTTTAATATATAACGAATCGCCAGAGTTGCAAATGATATTTGTTTCCAAATCTCTAAACAGTCAGTACATTGCCTTCTAATTAATATATTAGAATTCAATATAGCATATAGCTGTAACAAGTGGAAAGGCAAAACACGATCATAATGTTAGACGAAACTAGAAAATATAAAGTCACGATATGATGCTTATACGTAAGAGTAGGATTTGGAAATTTAAACTACTTGTTGTTAATAGAATTACGCATCTTTCCATTCTAGTTGTTAATTTGTTATCATTGCGTCAATTTGACACCAAATTAAGTTGAAAAAATGAAGTTTGAAAGAAGAATTGGCACCTTCGTCATGATCATCCCCGACAGGGCTTGGCTCGTATGCTGCTTGTACAGTAATCGGTATGGTAGTGATCAAAAAGTTTTCCCTTTCTTCGCGTTTCTTGTCGTCTTGTGCCTGCAAAGCCTTTTTTATGAGTTCAGTTTGTTGCTTCTTACGAGTTTTCGTTGCCGTCACCAGGGACCTCTAAGTAATAGTTGTAGTAAATTCTACTTAATCTACTGAAAGTATCTAATTCTAAGGTGTTCTACAATTTCAACGCTTATCTCAAGGCTTACATGATGTTCCTGGTTAATGGTCACTTCCTCCACCTTTGTTTTCACCTGTGGCATCCAAGGCGGATCCACGACTGGCAACGATTCGATACCGATTTTCGGCGAGGGTAAAGTGAATTCTATTCCAGGTGGAGGGACCTTGAACGTGAGGTGAGCATTTTCTTCCATGCGAGGCCAAACTTGATATCGCAGCTTCCACAGTACTTGAAATCTTAATATCGCGTTTATTCGTACGCTCGTGCTGCTGTGCTCGAGACCGTGATGCATCAGTTCGCTGGCTTGACTGGGAGCCCGTACAGCCGCGACTATGAAAAGAGATGCGGCGGACGCTGCAACCTCCTGGTTTGACTCCAACAGAAGTTCCCAAGCAACGGGTAGAACGTCAACGAACAACTCCTCGGTCATTACTACCGCCCCTTTCACCAAAGTAGCTAACGGTGCATGAAATATATCTTTCACCTGGGTCTTTAGATATTTCAATACCGGTGAATTCTCTTTGTCCGGATCCCCGGATATTTTCGAAGACTCCTTCCCTTTCTCCGAGTCTTGGTCGGCCAAATCCTTCGAAGAATCTCGTTGCGCTAATCTGCCCGACTGCGAGCCATCCATGTTCTTCTCGATTCTGTCAAAGAAACAGAAACACACGCTTGTCTTTTGCTTTTGGGTGGTTTTGATCGTGTTCTCTGCTCAATTATGGAAAGAAACGCCCGTAAAGATTACTTGTATTTTTTCCCCACGCTGTCCTTCCTACGCACAGGCGACACCTGAGTGCTCGTCTGTTCCGAGATCTTGCGGCTCCGTTTCTCCTTTTTACTCGCTTCCTTCTTGTCCGTGTCGAAGTCGAACATCCCCGTGCCATTGAGAATCCCGAATTCCTCGCCGTAAATTTTCCTTATCGACTTGATCAATCTGCTGCACGCTCGCATTTGACGCCGATGACAATGTGGATGACAAAAGTTCTGATGCGAGCAATAGAAGTTGAACGAATTGGCCAACTGTATCAAGACCTTCATCCAAGGGAAATTTTTGTTCGTCTCGTCTGTCTCGTTGCTGTCGCTGGGGCTCTCCGGTGGTTGATCGTCGATGAGAATTCCCGGTGATTCTTCTCCGCTGATTTCACCTCCGAAACCAGGCTCGGACGTGTCACTTCTGTCTGACAGAGAGCTCACTTTCCTCTTCGACTGTATCGAATCTGCTCGTTTTACCGTATCTAAAAGTAAACATCCATATTTATATATTCATTTGTTTAATTTATGTTAATGCATAGGCAAGACTGCGGAACTGCAGGGACCCCAATTTTTCTCGATATATAAGTATATTGCTTGTAATATTTAACTTTGTCATCAACAAGTGAATTCCACGAACCGCCACTATTCACAACACTTTCTCAGAGTATACTCACAGGCCTCGCATTCAATATCTTTGCCTTCCTTGGTACCACGTCGAAGTTTCAAACTTCGTTTCTTAAATGAACCAGTCGCATTCTCCGCGGTGCCGCGACGAAGAAGAAGCGGCCGACTTTGGGGCGGTTGCACGCGTTTCCCCTTGTCTTTCTCCGTTGTTTGAAAATCTTCCCCTTGAATCGTGACGGTCGATTTACTACTACCTTCTGACTCGTTGTCCGGTTCGTAAAGCACGAAACTGATCTTACGTTCCGCTGAGAATTCAATTCAGAGGGATCAAGTTAAGGGGAAAGAATAAATAAATAAAAAAAATGGAAAAAGCGTAGAATAGGACAGAACGTGTCTTATACTTACGAGCCACTTCCCGGTCACCTACGATCGATTGAAGACTTTGAGCCGAGGTCTGTGAATGACCCATCGACGAAAGTGCCATGCTCCATCGTCGATTCGCCTCTCTGTTGTACATCCTTTCCCAAGGTGGCGGCCGTTCCTTCGTCAGAAGTTTAAATTTCGGCAACGTTTGGTAAGTTTCTCTCAAGAACGCTGTCACTTCCAGAAGTAGAATACAGGCTGTAAGCCGCAACGCGATCGGACATTGAGATCCGTAACCGTTTATGCTGGCTGAAACATTTAATTGTTCGCTCAACGTGACCGTTCTTTTTACAATCTTCATTTCGAGATCGTGTAAAATCACCTTCATCGAGGAAATCCTCCTCCTCGTCTTCGATGATTAAATCTCTCTGTTTATTTTCGTCGGACACCGTCGCGATCATTTGATCGACGTTTTGCTTGTCTTCTAACAATAACTCCTCTAGTCTCGTCCCGATAGCCTGTTGAAAAAAAAGTATGTATCAACCGAGTGTTCTCGGTTTCACAGAGATCTCCTTCTCTTGGATGGAATATCACTATACATATTGAGTACCTCTGCCCATTGATAGAATAATTTTCCAGCAGTACGTTGCAGCATGTGAATTCGTGACGCAGCATGTGAATTCGTGGTAGTCTGGTGGTTAATGGGAACCGACGGACGAGACAGGGGAAAGTTCGACTTCATCCAGGTTGGCCATTGCCCTTTGTTACACTGATGAACGAAATGGGCACATTCCAGTAACAAAGAGGCCCGTGCAACCACCGGTGCGTAAGGCTGCAGAGAGAAGTACATGATACTTTCTTAATGTTATTTCAGTTATTTCGAATTCGTGGAAGATATCAACGATGTCTTCGACTTAAGTAAACGTTTGTGAACGATCAATACTGTGAAAAATAAAATATTTTTACAAGATCTAAGATTGCCGCCATTAGATAGTGATCAGGAACCGAACCCGGTTGGCAAGTCTCCAACAAGAATGAAAACCTAAGCATTCCATCGTAGACGGCGTTACGAGGTACCAGTCTTCTCTCTTTCAACACTACGAACTCAGATTCTCTGGAAGCTTCGCCAAATTCTATAGAATTTCTCCTGCTGAGATCTGTTTGCAGTGAAATCGTGTCTTAGCTGAATTTTAAAGTAAAACAAAAGGAAACAACAAGGAATGATCTGTCGTTCACTTACAGCTTCCTGGTACCTCTTCCAGACTTTCCTTCTTCTTGCTCTTTCCGAAACCAATTTTATTCAACTGATCTTCCATTCGACGTTTTGCTTTTTGCAAAGTTAGGCCAACGCTATGTAAATGGAATGTTTAAATAGTAACAACAGAATTTGACATTTCGTGTTAAAAACTATTACTAAAAAGTAAAATAAAATTTCTTATCCTTTCCTAGTATACTTCCTGTACGAATCTTTAGATTCTGTATACGTGTAACACGGTGTTCACGGATATATATTAACATTTTTTTCACATAAACAATAAGTATGAGAGAAAAATAGAAGAGGGAAAGATAATACTGTTTTTCTTGTAAGCAACATAATGGTGTATGAAATCTTTTCCTTTTTTTTTTTTTAAATGAAATTCAAATTTTTGAATGCTACAAATTTTTTTATGTCACATAGAAGCGTATATCAAGCATATATTATGATGCATCATACAATGACTTGAGTGTTTTACAAGATTGAAAATAAAAAAATACATCTCGTGTCATCTCTAATGCACAGAATGTTCCTAAGATCATTTTGTGGTTGATGGTTGCAATCGAATTTACGCCTTTACATAGTAAAAATATGTAACGTTTTATTTGAAAAATTGAACATGACCTTCGTTTCTTAAAAATAAAAGATACAAAAAAGTTACTTACAAAAAAACAGTACTACTTGTTCTTCTTTATTTTTTTTTTTTTTTTCTCACTTTTACCTACTTACGAGAAAGATGCTGTTTAGTAAATCCGTGAACATCCTGTGCATCTAGAGAGAAATTTTATGAAAATTTATGGACTCACCCACGACCCGATCTAGATGCACTACGGTGATGACCGTAATGAAAACTGGATTGCCTAACGAAACTACCATCTGTTGGCGATTCGCTGCTTTCGTGACTGTCGGTGGAATCGGTTCTGCCATATTCCCTTCGAAACCAGTTGACTGAAATTTCACATGTTCATAATAATCATGCAAATGATCACTATTCACCGCGTTGCTCGCAATAGAAGTTAGAAATTTTTGTAATTTCTACCTATACCGCCAATTTGAAAGCGAGTAGATTTTCGAATTTTCCCCGAGCTCAAGTCTATCCCTAAATTACGTTCACTTTGCCGTGGCGTGAGTATGTGATGCTTTTTCCTCAAATTTCCCAAGGGACTCTGGCTGATCTTTGCATTCTCTTCGCTCAGTTCTGTCTCAAGGAGGCTCTGCATAAACGTGAACTACATCATTAAAATGAAGAACCAATGACGATACGTAATCCATTGGACACGGTGTACATACTGCGCAAGTCGAGGACGTACTCCGTTTTTTGAAAAGAAATTTCCTAGTACCTCTGTCATCCACCGTGTAACAAGTTTCCCCACCGATATCTGCGTGTTCCTCCAAATCAGACTGGTGTATATGTCTGAAATTATTTGTATTTTTCATTTTCGCCTCCTCTCACATCTGCAAACGTTTGCAAGCCTTACCTAATGACACGGGTCGTCTGAACATTGCTGTTGCATCGCTTGTTAGGTCGATCTGCAGAGTCCAAGATTCCACTCAGAGCAACACGGCGAAAAGCACCGCCGTGTACTTCTTTCACGTACGACATAAATTGCCGTAGATCGCAGTACAAGTTTATGTTCTCTTTCGATTTCAGCTCCTTCAGCGATTTCACGAACCGCGACTTCACGAACCGCGTGACCAGCGGTTTAAAAACATAGTTGAAGATGTGACCCTCGATGCCGCGAGCGCTGTGGCTGCTAAATCCGTACGATCCACCTGCAATTCCAGTGGCTGTTGCAGCCACGGTGCCAGCACCAGCTGTCGCAGAGGAACTGCCAGTGCCTCCGCCGGTTCCGCTAGTTCCTATAACGTTGGCACCAAAATTCGTCGCGTATCCTCCTTGCGAGCCGACCTCCGGTGATTTGCTGGACCCTCGTTTCTGATCTGCCATACAACATACCCTAAGTCATTTTGCATCGCGCGAAATTCTTGCTAATATTGAAAATCAAGAGTAACAAAATAATCAATGCGTCAGCAAGGATATGCGTTTGCGAGATTGCGATACCAAAGGCACATCGAATCAAA